GGAGGATGGAGGAGGAGGAGGAGCCCAGCGCTGGCCGCCAAGTGGACCCTCTGGAGATATGGGGCCAGGGACTCTGGGCTCTCGCCTTTCCCTCTTCTCCTTTGTACTATCTCTCATTCATTCTCTCTCTCTCTCTCTCTCTCTCTCTCTCTCTCTCTTTCTTTCCCTTCCTCTCTCCCATTCAGGGCTCTCCCAGTCAATCAGTTCACTGAGCATCCTTCCTTGTTTCTGTGCAGGGAAATTAGACGATGTCGGCTCTTTCACGCGCCTTGTGGGTATGTTAGACGACAGTTGTCTCAAAACAAGTGACTCCGCGCGCTCCCCCCGTGCATTTTCACCCCCCTTATCTCAAAGGGGGCTTCCACGCTGTCGCTTTTTTCAAAAGAAGGAGGTTTGGTCCCCTCCCACCAAAAAATTCAGGTTGCGCAGTTATAGCTGGGGAGCAGGGACTCTTGCACAGCAAACCGGCTTGCGCCCAAAACTTAAGAATTTATGCTCTCTCTTTTTTGCGAAAAGGAAAGTGACGTAGAGAGACGCTGGGAAGTAACGCTGGAGGTAACCTCCCACAAACAAATTCGAATTATAGCTCAATAAATCGGTATTTTGAAGCTCTCAAAGAGTCCTATTTGGAGCGGGGAAAGAGACGTGTCTTCCCCTTTATTTCTCCCGTTCTCTCTACCTTTTCCTCTTCTCCCCGTGTTTTCCCTCTCCCTCCTTCCCTGCCCCTCTCACTTTCTCTTCTTTCTCTACATGGGGGGGGAGGGGAATCAGTGAGAATCATTATGAACCCCCATACCTTCCCCCCCCGGAACCCTCCCCCTTTTTCTACACCCACATAGGCAAAAAGTCAAGAAGCAGACAAGCAATGGCAAAACCCAGAGACACCTTAGACGCGGAATCCGTAAAGTTAGGTCTGGCTTTACATGCGGAATCTGCAAAGTTACGTCGGAATGCGTCCCAGAGACGATTTAGACACGGAATCTGCACAGTGACGTCGGAATCCGTTCCTCGTCTTGGACGAGGAATCTGTCCATGCAAAGCTTTTTCTTTTTCCAGCGTTTGTTTGAACCCCTCTTGCTCATAAATGCAAACTGTCTTGGCTTCAGTAAAAGGGGAGCGCCCTCGGAGAGGGTAAATCGCGAGACTACTCTCCTAGGAAACCTCCGACGCGACCAGCGAAGGCTAGGCACGCCTCTTGAGCAAAGCTCAAGGGCGACTTGCTTCTGAGTAAACATGCATAGGATCGGGCTGCTGGGGCGCTCAGGATCGCGGTCTGAGCAGCTCGATCCGACCCGTTGCGCGCCTTGGCTGCCCGGCTAAATCCTTGGGCAGTCTAAGATCCTTCCAACGCCTGCAGATCTTATGTAAGGAGATTTCTTTGGAAGCAGGTCCCTATCGGGGTGCGCGGAGTTTCTCCCTAAACCACGCTCGCTGTGGATCGCAGCTATCTCATTCTCTTAAACTAATGGTAAACGCATCTAACTAGTTTGCTGGTGGCCGGGCTGCAATATTCCGTATTAATCGTTTCTGTAGAATTGACCCCGCAGGTCCAGATCTGGGAACGGATTTCATGGGGAAAACATGGGCTGGGTCTGCTCCCCTAAGCAACGTGTTTCAAACTGGGGAGCGCAAAGAGGCTTCACTCTGGATTCACTAGGTTGTAAATCGGATTGAGATGGGTGATTGGGGGAAGAATAGGGGTGTTGCTGACCTCACACTCCGCCCTATGTTATTGTGGGGGGCAGGATGTATCAGTTTATGGCAAACTTGCAAGATAACAGAAATACTTCGGGGGTGGAGAATCAAGAGATTAGCTGAGGTGGGGAGGAAGGTTATCTCTTGAATTGATTTGGGGGTGGGATACTTTCTGGAGCGACTACGTTAAAAGAAACAGCAGCAGCGCAATCCTATGCTCCTCTCATCAGAAGTTAAGTCCTACTGCGCTCAATAAATCTTATTTCCAAAAACAGGAGTTTTTAAAACACCATAGTTTCGCCTTCACACCCGTTGTTTCAACAACACATGTTTGGTCTACAAGCAAATAATTCATTCTGAAAGAACTGGCGTCGGGATCCTAAGCAAATTTTAGACGGGAAATAAACGCTCTTGGTTTCACATCCCTTCCAACTAAGGGGAGAAACTTTAGGGAACAAACCGATTTCACTTTTTGAAAAAAGGAAACTTGCGTTTGTGTGGCAGTTTTGGAGAAACCTTGGTTTGTAAGAATGTTGTTCCGTTAGAAAAACGAAATAATAAGAAAGGAGGAAATGTAGGAGTTCGATTTTTTTTTAGGATAAATAAACAAACCTAAAATAAGTAGAAATGAGACCGTTAAAGGTGGCATAAATAATTTCTGAACATCATCATCATCATCATTATTATTATTAGCAGAATTAATAGCAATAGCAATCTTTTTGTTTCCATTATTATTTTATCCCTTTTTCCAGTCATTCGAGGTGAAAAACAATTACAACTAAATTCATTATTTTTTATTTTTATGGTTTTTCTTGTTTGTTTGTTTTGGCACTCGGAGAGCCAAACCCAACCGGAGAAGTGTCGGAATACCGTCTGCCTGCGAAATTCTTCGGCTCCACTCATCTTGCTAGTCATGTTGTGTAAACCCAAAGGCGAGAACTTGTTAGCCTTCTATTTGAGAAGGGATGATTTGACTGGGAGGGGGATTTAAATGTAGCTCTCTCCTGTTAAAAAACAAACAAACACGGCTGTTTTCTCAGAGGTTTGAGCCTCTTGACCGAAAGCGGCAAGATTTTAGGTGGGGAATTTGTCAGAAGGGGAGATTTTTAAGCGATTCGCGTTTCTGCAGTTAATGGAAATCGACTTTTAAAACTTCTATTTTCGGGGAGGGGGCAGGTGAGGGCTGGAAAGAGGGGGTGTCTCCGCCCCCCCCCTTCCCCAGATCAACAAGTGCTACCCGGATTAAGCAGACATCTTTTTGTCTTCTCCTCGAGTCATCCATTTCCAAAGGCTGGCCAGCCCCCGTGTGTGTGTGTGTGTGTGTGTGTGTGTGTGTGTGTGTGTGAAAGTACAGGAGACAAACGGGGAGTAAAAAGGGAGGGGGATACATATATGGATGAATATATTCCCCCACTTCACTCCAGCCTCGAGGCCTAACCCAGAGCTCAAGAGTTCATCTTTCACGGAAATCCCTCCTCCCTCACCCCTCCCAAAAATGGTCACATGAAACAGCATCCTTCACAAAGCATGGAGAGTTTGTGTACTGGATGTTTTTTATATATTTGTACACACAGAGAGAGGGAGACTAGAGCCATTGAAAATAACGAGCCTGACTTGTATCGATATATTTCAGGGAGTAAAAATTAGTTGAATACAACCCATGCACACACACTTGACACACGTATATGCGCAGTATGCATACATACACATTGTACAGCCTTATTTTAAAAGGTACTAGAACTACTGCAGATCTAGGGAACGTGAGGAGGATCTTATGAGGACGTCTCCACTCGCGTCCTCCCGGACTAAAGTTCTTCCTTCCAAAATGCCTTTTTTTTTTCCTTCTCGCGGATGGCGAGGCCTTTCTCCCTCGGTCCGCTGCTAGGCTGCCCCTTCGATCTGCGAGCACATTGGCTTTTGAAGGAGCTGCTTGCATCCTGTGTGATCTTCCCAGTACGCCCCCCCCCCCGCAACGCCTAGGATCTCCTCCTTGGGGATCGAATGCTATTTGTGAAGTCCAGGCAGAATGCAGTCAGCAATCGAAGTTCTAGACATCTAGACATTTCGCCCTGACATCTCACAAAACACACACAGACTTTATCTTCGTCTCGCCTCCCACCAGCAACGTAATAAGGCCCCATTTCCATTTCAGACTAGGAGGAGATTCTTGCCCCGACCCGCAGCAAAACCAAAAGCAAAACACCCACGCGCACCTCTTTTGCCAATGCTAAACTTTTTATAAAACACACAGAGAGATAAATCGTATACAATGAAGTTGAGTTTCGTCCCTTTCAAGTCGGACGAGCGATTACAATAAACCGCCCCCTTCCCTTTCAGCTAAGAGAAACCTTACTTCATTTATTAACTACTCAGAGCAGAGCCATTCGAAGCAATGGCCCTCAATCCGCAGGTCCCCCGTCTTCTTCAGTGGGTCTGCTCCGAGCAGGTCGAGGAGTTGCGCCCCAACCTTAGCCGCGCTCAGAGCAGACCCCTCGAAACCCACGCGAGCGCTTCCCACGGGTCCACTAGACAGCACAGCCCCCGAGCTGGTCCCAACATCGATCCCAGGCGTCTGCAGGGAGAGATCCCTCGCCCGAAACCCTGGGGAGGGCGGCTGCCAGTCCGTGTGGACAATATTGACCTCAAGTGGACCAAATGGGTCTGCCTCTGCATAAGGCATGATTGCCTACGTTCCTAATTCGATGCAACCCCTTTTAAAAAGGAAAAATAAAGATACACACATACACAAACAAACACACACACATATATATATATGCTTATGTCACACACACACACGCCTATCTTTAAAGCTATGGTTTTCCCAGGAGTGATGTATGGAAGTGAGAGCTGGACCATAAAGAAGGCTGATCGCCGAAGAATTGATGCTTTTGAATTATAGTGCTGGAGGAGACTCTTGAGAGTCCCACGGACTGCAAGAAGATCAAACCTATCCATTCTTAAGGAAATCAGCCCTGAGTGCTCACTGGAAGGACAGATCGTGAAGCTGAGGCTCCAGTACTTTGGCCACCTCATGAGAAGAGAAGACTTCCTGGAAAAGACACTGATGTTGGGAAAGATGGAGGGCACAAGGAGAAGGGGACGACAGAGGACGAGATGGTGGGACAGTGTTCTCGACGCTACCAGCATGAGTTTGACCCAACTGCGGGAGGCAGAGGAAGACAGGAGTGCCTGGCGTGCTCTGGTCCATGGGGTCACGAAGAGTAGGACAGGACTAAACGACTAAACAACAACAACATGAATACAACAACACGACTCGCCTGCAGCTCTTCTCCGAAAGGACCTACCCGTTTGGGGCGGCGGGTGCAGAGCGGGACCCCTCCCGGTCCTCGGGCTCAAACTCTCCCGAAAGTTCCCCCCTCTCCATCTCCATCAACTTCGGCGAAGAAGAGCGCGAGGAGAGAGGACGCAGGCAGCCCCTTCTCTCCTCCTCCTCCTCCTCCTGGTCCTCTCTCTTCCAGGATCCTCCTCCTTCTCCCCATCCTTAAACAGCCCCCAACCCTGCTCTGTCCGCCCCCCCCCCCTGCCCCGCCGGCCGAGCGCGCGAGCGCAGCAGCAGCAGCGCACCTGGTGGGAGCGGCGTCCGCGCCGTCGGGCTCCGGGCCGGGCTCCCCGGCTGGCCTCCTCCGCCTGCCGCGCGCGGGGTCTCGCCGAGGAGCCTCTGATGATGGGCGAGGGGAGGGCGGGGCGAGAGGGGCGCCCTCGGATTGGGTGCCGGCGGCGGTGACGTGGCGGGTCCCTGCATAAGGCTCCGGCGTGGAGGCGGCGGCCAACATGCAGACTATAGCGAGGCTGGAAGGAGCAGCGGCGGCGACGGCAGCAGCAGCAGCCCGGGAAAGGAGGCAGAGCGAGGCGCGCGCGGGACTGGAGAGCCCGGAGCAGCAGCAGCAAAAGCACAGGCAGCTCCGCCTGCCAGAGGCCTCGTCCCCTCGCCTCCAGCATCGGCCAAGAAGAGACTCAGGGGAAGAGCTCCTTTAATTCGATTTTTATTATTATTATTTTTTAAGAGGTTGGGGGACCCGCTGGATGTCCTCAGCAGCCCGGGAACGTCCTCGCCAAGCCAGCCCCGCATCCAGCGAGTCCCCATGGACCGGGCCAAAGAGTTTTTGACTCCTGGACTCACTCCGAGCCCATAGGGGTAAGGGAACTGCTGCTGGTCGCTGTTGATTGCTTACCTTACCCCCATCCCACCCCCCACCCCAAAGGATTTTATATTATAGAAAAGGGAGGAGGGCGATTATCAGCACCGATCTGGGGGTATTCTTAAAATAAAATTAGGGGGAAATTGTTTTTGTTTTGATTTTGTCACGAGAGAGGGGGGAGAGCCTGCACTTCCCCCTCCCGGTCGATTTCCTAATATGAGCATCGTTCTATTTATATAGCGGACATCATATTTCTCTCCCCTCCTCGCCATCCCTTCCTTTCTGGCTCCTCAAAATATCTCCTCTCTCCTTTTTCTTGAGACCCCCCCCCCAAGGCTCCTCGTTTTGAGATGCCCCAAGCATTGCAGCCTATGATTTCGGACGATTCTTTTTTTTAATGCTGGGGAGGGGGCTCTGATGTGACTTGCACTTTGACCTCTGACTGCTCTACCTCAAACCTGCGAGGACTCCTTTGTTTCCACCTCCACCCCCACCCCATGTTCATTTACCTTCCAGCATACTGACAGCACCTGATTTGGCCTCCTTGATTGCTCTCATTCGTTATTGTTATTATTATTATTATTAATAATAATAATTCAGGTTCTTGAAGAAGGCTTTTTTATCTGGCAACAACCTCAGCCACCAGTAAAAGGCCACGAAGAAGATTAGCTTCAGTCTCTGGTTCTTGAGCCGCCAGCCTGGCCTCCTCTGGACGCTGGAGTTTTTAATTTTTGGAAGATTTTTTCAAAGAGAAGATTTATTGATGTTGATGATGGTGATGATCGCTGGCTTTTGAGTTTGATGTTCCCGCCGGGACTTCGTTGAGAAGATCAACTTCTGCAGACAGCTTGCTCCAACGTGAAGGTTTTTCAAAAGCGCCGAGCCTGGGGAGGGTCTTCCCCTACACCCACCCACACACCCGGGTGTGTGTGTCTTGGGGTGCTTGTTTGGGGCGTTGATTTCTGCCTCTGCTGTGGACATCTGGGAAGGAAAAGCGCCTCCTGCCTGCCTGCCTGCCTCCTCCAGCCTTGCTTGCAAACTTTTGATCCTACTCCGCCTCCAAAAACACACACACACACAACAAAAAAACAACAACTCACGACGACATACCCAGCGCCACAGCCACAGCCCCCAACCACCCGCCCGCCCCCCTAACCAAAGACAATGGTTCACTGTGCCGGTTGCAAAAGACCCATCCTAGACCGCTTCCTCTTGAACGTTCTGGACCGCGCTTGGCACGTCAAATGCGTTCAGTGCTGTGAATGTAAATGCAACCTGACCGAGAAGTGCTTCTCCAGGGAAGGGAAGCTTTATTGTAAAAACGACTTTTTTAGGTGAGTCCAAAACTTTTTGGGGTTTTTTTTGGAGCGGGGAAGGGATGGTCTCTTTTGTCTCACTTTCTCTGTTTACTTTGTGTTTACTAGGGAGTAAGCCCACTGTGTTCAGTGAGGTTTGCTCCCGGGAGAATCTGCCCTTGCGCGCTTGGCCCCCTGGGGAAGCGCGTTTTAGGACTGCGCGAGGGTGTCCGGGGGTCGCAGCTCGCATGCTTGCTTCTAAGGAAGCGTGCATAGGATCGCGGCTTGCGTGCTTATTCCTGGGTGGGTGCATCTAGGATCGCAGCTTGCACGCCTACTCCGGCGCGAGTAGGGTCGCAGCTCCTGAGCGTCCTCCTGGGGTTGAGCCCTGTTAAACACAGTGGGACAGCGTCCCCCTAAAGACGCCGGAGATTGCTCTGTTGATCAACTTTGGGTAGCTGGGAGGGGTTATTCCCCTAACCCACCTCCGCAGCATCGCCTCGAAGTTAATTAAGGTACCATGCCTGAAACTTTTCTCCTGCTTCCCGCCCGCCCCCAACATTACAAACCACTTTATGTGCGTAAGGGAGAGGAGCAGTCAGTACCAGGTTTCGCTTGCGTCCGCCCCCCCCCCCCAAAAAATAAAACGATACCTTTCGGGCTTTCCCATCTGCCCCGGGCCCTCTTTGAATTGCCAGGGCTATCTGGCCCCAGGATACCTGATGGAACTACCCGGCCTCTGAACATGTATAAAAGTGCTTTTTCCACCACCACAACCAGAGGCAAGCGGACTTAGACTTTCTAAGACCCCTTTTAAAAAAAATTATTGCCTGGATAAAATATTTGGGGGAGGGCAGGCTGATCAGTCCTCAGGGCAAGGATATTTCTGTTTCGTGCAGCACATTATTATTATTATTATTATTATTATTATTATTTATTAACTGCAACAATAAGAAAATGCAGGATCCGTTATGCGTAGAGAGGCTCGTCTGTTTTTCTCCGGCGGGCCTTTGTTCTAGAGTAGCAAGCGAGGACTGATGGCTGTGTCAGCTGTCAATCAGTGCCTGGGAAAAGGGAGGGTGACCTTAAAAAAGAAAATGATTTTCTCTCTCTCTTCTCCCTCCCGCCTCCCAGGACAAGGGTGGGGGGGGTTGGACTTTCTGCAAAGTTCAATTCGGGAAATCTCTCTCTGCGGGCGTTTCTAATATGACCCACTTTAACAAGTCACACTTCCCTTCTCCCCCCCCCCTCCGCCCCCAATCGCCAAATCTCATCACCGTATATGGCCTTTTTTCTAAATCAAACAAAGGACAGAAGGGAGAAAGCGGAATCACTGGAATTTTAAAAAGTTTTTTTTTTAAAAAAAGGAAACTCCTGTATCCCCCCCTAAAATGTTCAAAATCCAGCTCTTCAAATCTGCCTGGTTTTCAAACCGGAGAGATAAAATAACTCAGTCGACGTTATCACGCTAAGTGAGCGGAAGCCTTACTCTGAGGAGACCCACTGAATTTAACGAGCATGACAAACTTCGGTACCTTCGTTTCAGTAGGTCTACTAAGAGTACAGCTTGGCTGAATACAACCCGTGATGTGCGTATATGCGTGTGTGTGTGTGTGTGTAGTTAGATACAGGTAAATCTAACAGGATGAATGGATAGATAGATAGATAGATAGATAGATAGATAGATAGATAAATAGATTAGATTAGATTAAAGCCCCTAGCAGCACCTTCCTCAAAGGCGGGGAAAGGACTTTTGCATATCATTTTCTGTTTTCCTTTCCAATTTCGTAACAACGTGCAAGAGGCGGGGTTGGCATCGGTTTCCTTTCGGCGCCCATCGATTCAATCGCGAGAGGAAGATCACTGCTAAAGCCACTCTTTCTATGATCAAAGAAAAAGGTCCGAGAGTAAATATATAAACAAAAGGTTTGTGCGAGAGGGGAAGGAGGGATTGACCTTGAATTGCCCAGGTGTCTTTCTCAGTGGAAAAATACGCCACGATCACAGCCTACCCGGATACCATAAAGCGCTTCTTTTGAAAACTGGGCTTCTTTTAGGTGTTTAAAAAGAGCCAAAAAAACCAAACCCGATCAAACACGTCCTTCTCCTCCCCTCGCCCTGCGAAATTGAATGATGCTTCCTGTCTGGCCAATATTTCGTCTTGCTATCTTTCCAAAGGAGGCTTCCTTTTCGCGGCATTCTTTGTTTCTTAATAATCGTAATTAAAATGATAGTAAACAGCATTTTGGGCAATTTAAAGAAGGTGGGAGGGTGGCCGACTTTTAAAAACAAAACAAAAAAACCAGGGGAAAATATGTCTCCTCCTTTTTATTTTTGCTTCATAAGAATTCCGTTGAGGCTCCGAAGGTTATTAAAAACGGTGCACGCGAAAGGAGAATTTTTAAATGTGCTTTTATGCAATAAAATGATAATCGTGATAATATGCCATTTTGGCGCATGGAAGCGGTATATAAATTAACATAATAAGATTTTTCTAAAGTGCGTTAAGTGAAACGAGCTTCGTTCTCCTCTGTAAGCAAACGATCGAGTAAATAATACCTTTTTACGCGTTAAGCTTTCGGGGAGCATTTTATCCAAAGGAAGGACTTTGACCCGACAGGCAACAGAAACAGGATTATCTGAAGAGCTGGGGCAGGGGAGAAAATCTAAACACATGTACCAAAAAGCTAGGGACTTCTAAATGCTGCGATCCTAATTTCACCGACTGAAGAGTAAACGCCGTTGAACTCAGTCGGGCTTTTGAGTAAACACGTTGGTGGTTACAAACTTAGTAAAAATCCGGGAGGTGAACAGCGGGGTCTTTCCTTCTACTCAGAAGTAAGTGCCGTTGAGTTCAAATCGGCTTATTCCCAGGCAAGTGAAGCAAGGCCTTGTGCAATGGCACTTACTCCTGAGTAAACGTACGTAGGGTTTCCCCCCTTCAAATGGTGAATTTAGGTTGGCTCGCGCCTATACGCAACCACCCCCCACTTAACGCATTCGAGAGATGTTCTCTTAATTCCCAATTTATTTTATTTGCCAGCTACTTTCGGAGGTTAGCA